GCTTGCATGCTGCCCGTTCTCATCCTCAGCCTCCACTCAGCGTCACCTCCTCAAAGAAGCCTTCTCCCTCTTTTCCAGGGAGGCCCCCACACTTTCCCGTCGCCTGCTCCATTTCCCCCACTGCACTGACGATCACCTAAAATGATCCTCGGGGGTGTTTACTAGTTTGCTCAGTCTCCCCAGGGGACATAAACTCCATGAAGACAGAGCTGGTCCTTCAGTTCTCCGTTGTTTCTCCAGGACCCAAGTCAATGCTTTGCCCACGGGACCTCAGTAGACATCTGTCCAATGAGTTAATTCTGCTCGGGCTCCCGCAGCTGGCACCCAGGCGGGCCTGCCTCCGAGGCCCCTCTGCACCATGCAGCAGCCACGGCCACCCTCCAACCGGCCTCGAAGCAAACCCACCTTCAGGCTACGAATGCTGGACGGGCTCGCGTCCGACTTGAGCATAACCTGGATGTCCTGGAGCGCCTCCTCCCCAGAGGGCCGGGGCCGGGTTACCTCGTCGGCCACCTCCTTGGCAGCTTCCTCCAGCTGGAGGGGAGGAAGGAGAAGGCTGTCAGTGACCGGAGCAGGGCTGGCCCAGGGGGACGCAGGGACAGGGTCCCACTCACCAGCTGCAAATGCTCGGTAGGCTGCTTGTACAAGAAGTCGGCCAGGTCCTCATCAAAGCTGGCCAGGTCCTCCACCTCCACCTCGACCCAATACTCCCCCAGGTTGTAATGCCGCTTGAGTTCATCCCTGCAGTGGGCAGGTGGCAGGGTGAAGGTGGGGACCGGTGCAGGGAAGAGGAAGCCGGCACTGGTGACGCGGAGGGGCACTGCGCCCTGAACGTGCCCCGCCGTCGCCAACGCTGCTCCGCCCCTTCTCTCCCCAGAGGCACGTCAAACTGCCGCGGGTCCCGTCACTTAGCCCAGCAGAGGCTCCCCACGGCCGGCAGAGGCGTCCTTCACAGAAAGCTCCATGGAGGACCTTTCAACACTCAGACAGGGTCCTGCGCACGGTCAGTTTGGGCGACCCCCGCTGCACACCAGCTCTTCGTTTCCGGCCTCCTGCGGGCCTTTAACTCTCCGTTAGGAAGCTGACAAGGCACACACCTCACAACTTGGAGACCGAAGGCAGCAGACACCCTGTCCATCTTCTCAACCACCAGGCATCCCACGGGACTACTGTCCCAAAAGCACGTTTGGGGACCACGGACCTACACAGAGCCCCCTCCCCTTCTGCCTTATGCCCAGGAGCCACCTAAAACCGCCAGCCTGGCCCAGAGAGCCTCCTGCTGCATCGGGCCACCCCACACATCTGCCCGGGCAGCTGCTCCCTGGACTGCTTCCCACGCAACTCTTCTGTCAGCTCCAGGGTCACCTTGAACTTCGGCTCCTCTGGAAGCCTCCCCTAACTCTGCTTTTACGTTCCTTTGAGATGATTATCACCACGTAACTATTAGTTGGTCCCCGTGCCCCGCTCCCACGGACTTGAGGACAAGGGGTTCGAACCTTTTCGTGTTGGTAAGTCAGGGTCTAGCACAGGGCCAGGCACCCAGGCGGTCCATGTGCGCGGGTGCCTGAGTACGTGGAGGCAGGAATGGCTAAGCCCCTTTTACTGACGAAGACGCAGACAACCCGAGAGACTGTCAGTCGCAGTCGCGGCACCAGAGCCTGGACCCGCAAACCCCTGCCCTCCTCATCTGGTGAGCCTGCGATGGCGTGGCACGCTGCCACCGGCTGCACCGACTAGGAGCAGCGACCTCGCCCCGCTGGTCCGGTGCTGCGGCCCAGCACCCAGGGCCTGGCGCGCAGCCGGCGCTCCGTCAGCAGCGCTGGCAACATTGGAACGAACGAACGAACGAATGAATGAACGGAGTAAATCGTCAGCCCTCTGCGCCCAGGGCACCCACAGAGAACTTGCGTTTCCCAGGTGTCTCTGACACTCCGTGGAAGGACAATAATAAGATATAAAAACCAGGTCTGGAAAAAGAACCAAAGGACCCAAATGGCTCTGGCTGGGGAGTCGGGGGCCGACTCAGCAGGTGACTCACGCAAAACTTAACTTCAGGTAGGACATGGACAAAAACACGTCCCCCCACGTGCCCGGGTCTGATGAAGCACCGCTGGGACCAAAATCCTTGGAACGGGACAGGCTCCTTCGCCTCCCCGCCAGTTTCCCCAGCTGTGCCGCGACCGTCCGGGACACCAGAGGGCTCTGAGCGGAGCCGTGGGGCCAGCTCAGCCCCTGAAGCAGAGGGGCCTGCAGGCGCGTCTCCCCTCCTGCCCCGCTGCAGCCCGCACCTGTATTTGAAGGTGAAGCCGGTGCGGTCGGTGCCCACCCGGTACTGCCGCAGGAACTCCTTGAAGCGCCTCTGCAGCTGCGATTTGCGCGCCTTGCCCTCATCGGCCGCGGTGTCGCCCCCAAAGCTGTCGCTGTAGAAAATGCCGGGGTCGTCGAAGCCCGACATGACTGCACCTGGCGCGGGGGCGAAGAGCTGGAGCGGACGGGGGACAGCGCGCGGCCTCCCCTCCGCTCTGACGTCTGGGCCTCGGCTCCGAATGCGGGGCGGGAGAGTCCGGCTCCCACTCCTGGATCCCGACCCCAGTGCTCCCAGGACAAACCCCTGCCCCCCCTTACTGCACGCCCAGAGGGAGACACCTGCCGTCCCCCCATGGAGCCAGCTCCCGGGTCCCCATGCCCCAGTCTCACCGGGCTCACCTGTCTCTTCCGGCACCCCACGGACCCGGAGAAGCAAGCAACCCACAGGCTCCGCCGCCGAGTTTCGCGGGAAAACAGAGACGCCGCGTTCGGACGCTGCGGACGCTGCCTCCTCATTGGTTCGCCTGGGCCCCGCGGACAGTGATTGGGCCTCTCTGCACCCTCGAGTCCAGCCTCCTGGACCGGCATCCGAAGCTGATTGGACTTAGGGCTCATGGCGTCAGGGTTTCTCGCCTCCTTCCGGGCTCCATTTTGTGTGCCAGGAAATTTGGCGCGAATTTTCTGAGGTAGGAGGGGAGGGGTGGAGCCGGGAGCAAAGATGGCGGAGGGGCGGGCCTTCAGCCGGAGGGTAGGCGGGGTTGTGCTGAGGGTCAGTTCTGTGCCTTTCGCAGGCCTTTCTAAAATTCTCATGAGACGAAAAAACTATAATTAAGGAATATGTTACTAATAAAAAAATAAAAGCCTCATGAGAAAAAGGCCCCTTTCAGAGCACGGGGGTGAAAGAACCAAGGGTTCAGAAGATGTAGGTCCCATGGGGGCTGGGAGGCCACCTGCACACCTGCTGTGTGTTCTCGCCCTAACGCACACTCTTCCAAAAGTTACAGAGTCATCAGGCATGTCACCTCTGGTCTCCTTAACGCATCTGTGAGCAAAGTCGTCCCAAACTTGGAACTCGACGTTTTCGTAGACCCAAAAATGCTGGGTTTGTTTAAATGGAAGATTTTAGGTTATTTGGAAATGCTTAAAATTAGCGAGAATTCACGATCAGATTCCCAGCCTCGCTGGAAAGATGGTCAAGACCCATCAAAAATCGACGCACGCTCAAGCAGCAACAAGGGCTGCAAAATCTCCCTGCTTTTTCATTCCCATTCCGCCCTCCTTGAACCGGAAAGAACTCATTCTCTTGGCCACATTCAGACAAACGTACATTGATATTTACGGAGAGTGTTTAAAAATGTGTATTTCTACAGTGTATACAAGTGATATAACAAATAAATGTAAAACTGGCTTTTCTCATGGTAGTCTCTCTGAATGGACACGCAGCTCTAACTCCGGCAAGCTACTAATTTTCCATAGGATGAACAGATTATAAATTATTCAGCCATTTCCCTATGAGATTTCAAGGTTTCCCTCCCCGCCTCCCTTCCTGTTTTTGTCACTGCGACGACTGTCCATGCCTCTTCCGCAGAAAACGGGAAACCCTCCGCATACCCAGTCCCCTGCACGGTGGCTCCGGGAGCTCCTTGCGCTTTGGAGCCCCCCAGGGAGCTTGTCCTAAATGGGATTCCAGACTCCAGCCCCGGTTTTCAAAATCGGAACCTCCCAGGGTGGGCGGGGGGCGGGGGGGGGGGGTTCTGATGCCACCCAGCGGACACGGCTGTTGGCACACAACCGGACCCCCCTGCCCGCTGTAGGAGGTTAGGTACCTTTTTCTCATTTCGCCAATGAAAAGAGACTTGAAGTGACTCGTCCGAGGTCCCAGGCTTAGTGACAAAGCCAGGACTGGGACAAAGGACCTCCGGACTCCCAGCCCTCTGAACTAGTTGTCTAAGGAACCGCCTTGTCCCGATTTCCCAAATACGCCTGCAAGCAAAGGGCTTCCACTTTTCCAGGTGGGGAGGCTGTATTTTTAATACTCCAGTGGCTTTTGTGACGTAGGGGAAAGATTTGGGTTCTGGAGCTGGACAAGCCTGGTTTAAACCCTTCCTCACCCTCAGACAGGGTAACACTCCTCACAGATGCACAGTGAGAATTATGCGACATGACATAGGTGAGGTGACAATCGCTTAGCAAGAATGCGAAACCTCATCGCCCGTGTTTCGGAATAGGAGCTAATGATGTACCATGTTGGCATTTCCCACGCATCTAATTTGCTTCTCGAGACAGGCAGGTGAGGTGGCCTGTCTTCACGTTAGCAGGTAACAGGACTGAGGAAGAGGTTAATCACTAACCTTTTAAAGGCAGCGCTAACAGAGTAGCAGAGACTTCAACCCAGGGATCTCATGGGTTGGACTTCCATACAGACTGCAAATTTCATCCCAGAACCTGCTCGTTTCAGCCTAACAGGGCAACCCCACCCTCCATATAGGTGAGTCTTGCAACAAGCAGGGTTCACTGCAAAGATTTGCCCACCAACTGCTTAAAGTTCACCCCACCCCCAACCCATTCTCAGAACAGGACACCCGAACCCTGCCATCCACAGCTTCACCCCTTCTCCCACCACCCAAGAAACAAGTCAGAAAAAAGGTCAGTTCTCAAGGGTCACAGAGCCCAAGAAAAACACTTCAAATTACTATCAGGCAACGCAGTTTATTTCACATACAAGTTAGAGACCAAGGCCACAGTGCTGTTAAACATCTCCCGCAGCACCTACCCCCACCCCCTAACCCTGCTATAAAAACAGAACAGAACACAACAAAATACCACAGTCAGGCCGAGCCAGGAACAAGAAGGGGCTCCAAAAAAACAAGACAAACACAAGACACAACATCTTGGCACATGTATATGAAAATCGTCGTGACCCACGGGGAACTAAGTGGTCATGGCATGTCCACAAGGAGACAGCAAACCCAGGGCGTTTGGAGAGTCAGGACAGTTGCTGCTTCTGGCCATGTCTTCTGGGCTCTGAGGCAGGAACAGGGGAGGGGGGAGCTCTCAGGACCGGGAAGGACCCCTCGGTCCCACTCTGGAAGTCCAGGTCATTGGCTACATGTGCTTTTTGGTTGGGCAGATGCCACAGATGCCTTCTTCCTTGCCAGAGAGAGGGGGACGTGGCAGGGAGGCTGACAGCTCCCCCTGCCCAAGGGAAGAGAGCCAGTCCAGGGATTCTCCCTCTCCAGAAAGAGGGCCCTCTGCTGGCAGAGTCCATGGCCCCAGGGGCCAGCACAGGAGGCGCATTCACATGGCATAGAGGCCCATGGCAACTGTTGCCACCAGGAAGCTGAGTGTGAGGACCCATCGGACGAGAGGTGACTGGGAAAGGACACTGAGCTGGGGCTTCCCCCTGGGAGTCTCCGTGGGAGTCAAGCCTAAAAGAGAAAGGAGGTCAATGTCAACAACAGGTGGATAGAGCTGGGGCATCTGACTGCACAGAAAAGCACAGCAAAGGGGCCTCGGCAGCCTCTCGTACAGTCCCACTCCATGCCAAGGTTCTGCTAGAACACAAACAGTGGCGCGCTAGCCGCTGCTTGAATGCCTCCAGAGACAGGGAGCTTCCTACGTCACTACTTTCTCCAAGCCGTCTTCTCCTCCCCTTTCAGCTAGCCCACACTGGGAGACTGGCCTCCTGGGCCATTCCACGGGCCCGCACTTTGAGAACCGCTGCATTAAGGCAACGCCACCTCCTCCCACCAGGTAACACTCCCAGACACAATCCCAACAGAGGGGACCATGTGGTCCTGGCACAGGTGCAAAAGCCACAGGGCAGGTGGGTGGGGGTGGCACCAGGCCGACGGTGACCTTCCCCTCTCCCCTCCGACCCCCCAATACTGCAGCCCTGCTCCCAGGTGCCAGGCCTGGGGAGGGTCCACTCTGGGGCGCACTCCACTTTAGTCTTTCTGGAAGTTCCCCAGCTCTTCTCTCCGCACAGCCACCACCTCCATACCTCTTCTGAGGCACACGAGGGAGGGGCCAACACACAACAAGAGCCAGAGCAGGGTAACAGCCAGAAAGGGGCCGGACCCCCTGTCCCACGTCAGGAGTGACTGCTCAGGAATCATTCAAGGGCCCCAAGGGAACCCAAATTAAAGGAGAAGAGCTTCGCCCCAGACTTCTGAGGGTCCTGTGTGCAAGTCCTGCTTTTGAACCAATGAAGTAGAACTCGCTCAACTGCCCTGGGTTTTAAACATGGGGAAACTGAAGTAGGATGAGGTTAAACGGCTTGCCCAGAGTCACACGCTGAAGGGGGACCTCATGCCGTTTTGCCTGCACCCCACTTCTCGTTTAGAACGTTCAGAAGACAGAAGAGCCAAGAGGTGCTGCAGCCAGGCCGCTGGGCCATGAGCCCCTCCTACGGGGCCCTCACCTTGCGTCCCGCTGCCAGCCCGCCGGCGAAGCCCCGGAGCCTGCACGGCACTCTGGTCCTTGGTCTCCTGCGTCAGCAGCTCCTGCAACTCCTCAAACAGCTGAAAGACAGAAGCCACACATGCCTGTCTCAGGGAGGGATGGTGCCAGGCCCCCGCTGACGGAGGGGTCTGAGGTCTTGTTATGAAGTGTGCAGACATAATAAAACCCCGAAGAAAAATATTGACCAGTCCTGCGCCCTTCACTCAGTTTGAGAGAGAAGGTGTTGCAAGCGCATTTGGCTCGCCTGCCTGCTCTTCCCCAAATGCTCCCGGTAACACCCATCCCGGGTGCGGGGGACACTGCCGCCATCCCCGCCCTCCCTGCGCCTGTGCAGAGCACCGTTTCCTGAGTGGCGCCCGAGCCTATGCAGCTTCCTGCGGCCTGCCTTCCTCACAACTCTCGGTGAGAGCACCCTGGGAAGGCGTGTGTCACGAGCCCGGCTTTGCGACGAGGCAGCGGCAGCCCCTAAGAGCGGGCCTGGACCGAGGCTAACCCAGGGCTCTGGCCCCAAACCCCATCTTTCTTCGACACCTCTCGGAAAGACAGACTTCCTCGGAGGATCCACCCACCAGGTTTGGTTTGCTGTCGTTTAAGGAACTACAAGGGAGGGGCACTGCTCCCTAACTACTGCTGGGGGCGGGTGGCCAGGAGGCCGTGGGCGGGAGCCCCAGTCCCCACAGTGCCTCCAGGTGGGAGGAGGGCGACAGGACTCTGCAACACCCGGGTTAGGAGGAGCCTGAACTCCCCGGGGTCTACCTAAGAACTCCTCCTTCCAGGCCTCCCTCAAAGCCCACCTTGTCCTTGGACTTGAGGCACTTGGAGAAAGATGTATCGCGCCCTCCTGGCTGGGATGAGAGGCCCCAAAGGTCAAAGGCCACATCTGCGGCACCTGTAACCTCTGCCGTGCCAACCTGGCTACGCACAAGTGCACACACAACTTGAATGTCGCCACGGGGTGTTATAAGCATGAGGCTCACGCTCCATAAGAACAGCAGCTCACAGTGGAGGGCTGACCCTTCCCCACAGGCCCTGCTGTGGGACGTTCACTGGTATAAACTCCCTTAACCCTCACAACTCTTTAGAGGTAGGTACCATTATACACCCATTTTACAGGTGGAGAAACTGAGGTACAAAGAGACTTAAGGGATTTTCCCAAGATCACCCAGCCACTAAATGGCAGGACTGGAGCCCTGGCGCACGCATCCCTGCACTTAACTGTGACCCTCCGCCTGCCCCCTCTCCTAATATAAACGTCCCCTGGAGGAACAGCTGGGGGTGGTAGCGGCTGCCCTGGACTGCCAGACCCTCACCTGAATGTTGAGCAGGAAAGAGGTCTTGGCCTCTTCGACGACCCTTTGTCTGACCTCGGGGGTCATCTCCAGAGAGTTCATGCGGGAGCGGTACAGCTGCTTGAACTTGGTGGCACTGGCGATGTTGGGGAAGGTGAAGAAGGCCACGCCCTCTCCGGAGCTGGGCAGGTCCAAGGACTTCTGGGCAATCTTCTTGAGGACCTGGCCCCCAGACAGGTCACCCAGGTAGCGGGTGTAGGTGTGGGCCACCAGCAGCTCGGGCTCCCTGAGCCCCACGTGTTGGAGGCGCTGCACATAGCGCTGGGTGGCCAGGGTGCAGGGGATGGTGTCCTGCCAGCGGGGCCCGAACCAGAAGGCCATGTCCTGCTCCAGGGCCGCCCTGCGGTGCAGCTCTTCCGGGAAGTAGAGTGGGGCGTAGACCGGGTTCTCCTTGTTGCGCTCGATCTCCTCCTCCAGGGCCTTGTAGACGTGGTACAGGGAGGCCATCACCAGCTGAAACCGGAGCAAGCAGGTCAGGCCGAAGCCGAGAAAGGCCCCCACCCCGTCTTCACCGCTGCCTTTGCCCCCTGCCCAGGCCGGGCTCCCACCTCCTGCGGCCCCTCCTACCCTCCCCACACAGCGGCCAGAGGGAGTGTCACGTGAGAAACACTTGGTCATGCACTTTCTGAGCCCAAAGCCCTGTACCACCCCCGCACCGGGTAAATGCATGGCCTCACTTAACCCTCACAGAAATCCAATGCAGTTACTATCCCCATTTTACAGGAAAGCAAATGAAGGCTCGGAGAAGATAGGAGATGCTGAGGTTGCACAGTCAGTAAGAAATAAAAGTGGAGTCAAGCCCAGGCGTTCCTAGAAAGGCGTCGTGGCTCTGGAGCAAGGGAATGCCTGGCTGAAGGTGCTTATAGGAGACTCAGCTGCCTCTGGCCTTTGGTCTTTGACCTCTGGGTGACCTGCTGCAGGGCCCCACTCTCCTTCCTTGAGGCCCATTCTGAACCCTACCACCTCTGGATATCAGGCCAGGGTAACCAGTCCAATGTACCTTGGCTGAGGGGGCAGTTCCTGTTACACATTAATTCTCTAGCTGTGCGACCACAGGTGAGCCACGCGCCCTCTCTGGGTGGTCTCAGGTCTGAGTGACTCTGCAAGTCGAGCTTTGGTCCCCACCCCCTGCAAAGGGAAGAACCCAACCGCGTACTAAAGGGGGCTGGTATGATGGTCCAAGAGGATGACACAGGTAAAGCAGTGGGGGCAGCCTGGCCCACGGGAGCAGCCTGACACTCAGCACTCAAGTCAGAGGCCGTGGTGACGCCGGCCCCTTCCTTCAGCATAATCTGAGTGAGCGTTCGGTCCTCGCACGGACCTCTGTGCTCACTTTGAACTCAGTGGCTTAGGGGTGAGATCCAAATCGATGGTTGCTGAGGAGGGGACACTCCAGCAGCCCCCTCCCTGCTCCCGCTGCCCGGGCCACATGACAACTGGGGGTAGGTCATCTTTTTGAGGGGGAAAGAGGACAAGGGAGAGAGAGCAAGGCCTGCACCCAGCACCCACAGACACAGCCAAGGGCCCCAACCCCACTAGAACTGCATGTTCAATCTCCCCTTGCGGGAGCACTTCTCAGATTGGAAGTCGGGGAAGACCCAGATTGCAAAACGGAGAGGAGTCAGAAGTGGTGCGATAAAGTTCCCCCACCCGCTCCGGCTCGGGCTCCTGTTCAGCCCAAACAAGCCTTTCCTCCAGCTGATGTTTTAATTCTCAGCATTTGTGTGACTCTTTGTCAGGTACTTCCGTTCTATTTGCATAAATTTCACAACCATGCTGGGAAAGAGCAAAGTCAGTGTCAAGCTTACAGTTGAGGGTTTAAGGTGAAGGAAAAGTCGCCTGAGGGGAGGCAAGATGAGGTGTCCCCAGTCTTACTGTTAGGAAGTGGTTGAGCCAGGGCTTGAACCCACCCTACCCTCTTGCCTTCGGAGGCAGATTAGAATTAAGTCAGAAGTACAGGCTCTGAAAGGAGACCAGCCTTGGTCTGGGTGTGACCTTCTGTTAGTTACTTAGCCTCTTTGGGCCTTCCCTTCCTTGTAAATATCGTGTAAAACGCCCAGCTTGGGATAGGTGCTCAGCCCTACAGCAGGCCATGAATTTGCTGTGTGACCATGGGTAAGCCACCTCCTCTCTCTGAGCCTCCATGTCATCACCTATAAAATCATTCTCTCAGACATTCCCATCTGGCCCCTCAGCATCCTTGGTCCCAGGCTCCACTGACACACTGGCCTGAGTCCTGGGCACACCCATACCTGTCATACCCTTCCCCAGGGCTGGTCCCACCAGACCACATACCTTAAAGCCTTCTGGAGTCACTTGGCCCTTCTGAAAATTCTTCATGAACTCGGCATTCTCTGCCTGGATGTGTACCTCCTTGGTGGCCTCCTTCAGGGCCTCGGACAAATCCTGGCACATGCTGCGGGGGGAGCGGGGGGTGGTGGTAAGTAAGAGGTTGGCTGTGCACAGGGTTCTTCCACAGGCTGAGCCTGTGAGGGGGACCTTCAGAAGATTTCGGCTTTATGAGGCTTCTCCTAATCAAATCAATCCAGCCTCCCACCTAACACACAAGCCACATTGCCAACCACCCCAAGATGCTGGGCCATCGACACTCTTCAGTCACTAGAAGATATCATAATATGGTCCCCAAAGCCAAGAGGGAAATCTGGGGAAAGCTATTCTAACGAGGCAGAGAAGGAAGCAGCACAGCCCAGGAAGCAGCAGCAGTGGGCAGGCTAAGCATTTGCATTCAATGTTGTCATTGCTCTGGTGGGCTTTTTGACCCAAGATTTTATTTGTTTACTTTGCTGAGGTTTCAGGTACAAATCTCATGACTCTCCCTATAATATACTCATTATGAAAACACTTAGGTTTAAAATGCCCAAATAAAGCTATGCTTTACTCAAAGCAAAACTTACTTTCTGGGAGTATTTCTGCCATGTATGTCTGTACCCGCCTCCCAAAGAATTGTCATTTCTCCTTTCTCTCCTGCCATACCATACACTTTCCCAAAGACATCAACCCCTGTTCTGTACATACTCTTGGATGAAGGGAAGGAGCCAGCCTTGGATGTGGACAGACAACCGAGGTTCACATCCCAGCTCTGACACCTGCTGGCCCAGCGACCATGGGCCTGCTGCTTCCCTCCGCTGTAAAGCGGGGCCACAATGGCCACCACGATGTCTTGACAGCTAGTGAGTGAACGGTGGAGCTGACCAAGAGTGGGCTCTGGTAAGAGCAGCACACACCCACACGGGCTCCGGCAGCCAGAGGGATTCTACACCAGGCAGAGGAGCCCCTCCAAGCAGAGTCATAAGTCCAAAAACAAAGTTGGAGACCATCGCGACACTCCCTCCCATGGATCACCCACCTCCCGAGCCAGGGGGCCGGGCACGTGAGTCACCTCTCATCCCTCTAACACACGGTACATCAGGATTGGAACCCAGCCCCTGGCTTCCCGGCTCTGCCTGGGCCGGTCGGGAGGGCAGGTCCCCGCGCCGCTGCCCCGTCGTTCCGTCGCCCCGTCGCCCAAGGCTTACCTGTCGGGCTTGGGGTGCTCCATCTGGCCGGCGCTGGACTCGCTCGGGGCTGGCTCGGGGCTGGCTCCGACCTCGGGAGAAGAGCGGAAGGAGGCAGGCGAGCGTCTGTGCCGAGCCGGGTCCCGCCTCTTATTTATCCTGGGAGGCGGGTCACGTGGGTGTAGCCCAACAGCTGATCCGAACTTTTCTGGCGCGACCTTTCAACACCCCTGCCAGTCCGCGCCCGCCTCCGCCTCTGGCCCGCGGGGGCGGAGGGGGAAGCGGTCACATGAGCCTTGGAAAACAAAGCCTTAGGAAGCGCTACGTGTAAAAAAAAAAAAAAAAAAAAAAAAAAGGCTCTTCTGGAAATTCTCGCCAGAGTGTGCTTCTGCCCCTTCCAGAACCCCCTACCCAGTGCTGAGACGTGCGGCACCCCAGGAATCTGAGGGTTCCAACGGGTCCAAGCCCCAGTGCAGGCATGCTTCTCTTTCCAACTGGAAGCCCCTCCTCCCCAACCCCTGACTTGGCTAGAACAGCACCCCGGGCCCCCGACGCCAGGGCAGATGGGGCCCCGGGTCTGAGCTGGCCGGCTTGTCTCCTCTGCCCCACTGTGGAGCTTGCTGATTCAGCTTCTTGACTTCCCCTTCCCTGCCCTCCAGCCACAGAAACGGTCCAGACACTATTCTCCTTCTGCGATGGCTAAAGATGGCCCCCCAAGGATTCCACGTCCTAATCCCCAGAACCTGTGAATATGTCACCCTACAGGGTAGAAAGGACTTTGCAGATGTGAGTAATTTAAAGATGTTGAAATGGGAGATAATCCTGGATTATCCACCTGGGCCTAATGTGATCACAAAAGTCCTTATGTGAGGGAGGCTGAGGGGTATGCAGATACAGAAAGGGATGTGACAAGGGAGGCCAAGGGCCGAGTGAAGGGCTAGAAGATGCTCTGCTGCTGGTTTTGAAGGTGGCGTTAGGGGCCGTGATCCGCGGAGAGCAGGCAGCCTCAGAAGCCGGAAAAGGTGAGGCAGCGTCTCCTTAGAACTCCAGAAGGAATGCAGCCCTGCCAACACTTTTTTAGGACTTCTGACCCCCAGAGAATAAATGTCAGGACAGCAATAGGAAAGAACACAGCCCCCTCAAGGCCTGTTTTCCTCCTACCCCAGGGGCAGAGCCTCAGCCTAGGAAGGCAGGAGAGAGGGGTGGACGGCAAGGCCCTGCGGAGTTGACCAGCAGCGGTTCCCTTCTGCCCTTTCCCTGAGCGACACTTGGCATTCTCTCCCTAGAGCTTTGATGTGTCAGAAGCCACCACCCCATTCTCTGGTCTTTCCTTTCAGAGTCATCTTCTTGAGTAGAATGGGCCGGTTTTTTGGTTTGGATGGGGTGTTTTTGGTTCGGTTTGGTTTGGTTGGTTGTGAGCACTGGAGATACAACGTTGAAAAGGCTTGTAGCTCACCTTGAGAGAGCGTGCATGCGCACGATCCTAACAGAGGATGTCTGTCTGGACGTAAGGAAAATGACCCAGAAAGGGGGCAGGGGCACGGAAGACAGAGCGGTTGGCAAACTGGAAAGAAACCTTGAGGCCTGCCCTGAGCCAGCCTTCTCCCGTGCACGGCTTCATTTCACCCTCACCCAACCAGCAGGTCGGAGTCTATGTGGGGTGGGCAGAACCGTGGCCGCTTCCAGAATTGCTTCCAGAATTGGGTTCCAGGTATTATGCGCTAATACCTGGAACCTGTGAACGTGTCATAGGTTATTTAGACTTTGCAGATGAATTCAAGGTTACCGATTTTAAAATAGGGAGGTCATCCTTGATTTTCTGAGGGGTGAGGGGCGCAAGCTAATCATGAGCTCTTGAAAGTACACAACTTTCCCAGGCAGAGGCAGAAGAGACGTGGCAGAAGTCAGAGGGACAGGAAGTGTAGGCAGGACCCAGTGATTACAGCGTTAAATGAAGGTCAGGTCAGAGTGGACCTCACAGACTGGGAGGTGTGGGAGGAGCAATGTTTTGGGCGGCAGGGAGAAGGTTCCCCAGATCAAGGCCAAATCAAGGCCCCAGGTGGCACGAGCGTGACATGTGAGCCAAAGGTGGCGTGGACAAGCAGCCACATGGCGGTCAGTGCGGCTGGAGCAGAGAGAGGGAGCGGGCAGGCGGCAGATGAGAGCAGGGAGAGATGGGGACAGAGCCCACGGGACCTGTCGGCTGTGGCAAGGACCTTTTGTGAGTAGTGGACACCGCAGGGTTTGGAACAGAGGCGTATCGCATCAGTGTTGCTGGGATTAGTGGTAAAGCCGGACTGAAGAAGGGCAAGGGCCGAAGGCTCCCTACGGCAGTGACCCGGGGAGAGACGACGGTGGCTTGGACAGGAGGGAGTGAGAAGTGCCCTGGGACAGCCATGTGTTAAAGGCAGAGACATCAAGACTTTCAGAGTAGAGAGCGGGATGTGAGAGCTGAAGTCAAAGATAACCCCAAAGTTTTTGCTTCATCCAACTGGGAAGGCAGAATGACCAGTGTACCGCGATGGGGGGAAGCTCAGCAGCTCAGTCTTGCTTGGACAAATCAATTTTGAGATGTATGGAACAGGGCTTTGCAAACAATATGCTAAATGGAAGGCTCTTGTCCTTTTCTGGAAGTTTCACTTCTTCCTGCCTGCCTTGAAAGCTGCCCTTTCACAGACTACCAGGAGGGAGGCTGAGGAAGCAGCGGGTGACTCAGCAAAATCTGCCTGCTCTTTGTCTCCGCGAGTCCCCCCTCCCAACCATGACGCAGCAAAAATGCAGCTGCCAGAGAGGAATGAGGAAATCTGGGCTCAGCACTTGGCTGCCTGGAAAACAGAAGCGGTTTGTTTGGCTGCAGGGAGGGGCCAGAGCTGTGGCTTCCAAGATTCAAATAGTGAAAAACATAGGCGGGGAGGCCCCAGCCGAGGCTGGGGGCGCACAGTGGAGTCTCTTGTCTCTGCTGGACAGAGTCCGGAGAATAGAGAGGCTCCTCCTGAATATCCTCAAGCAGGGGACACCCCAAATAAACAAGGTTACACATGGTTTCCTGACCCCACCCTTGCCTCTCACAGACCTAGAACAGGCCTTTGACCCCGGAGGACAGGGCCCCCAGGGGTGGATGGGCGGCTTACTGGGAGCCCAGCCCTCCTCAGCAAGGCCGAACGAGCCCATTGAAAAGCATGTCCCCAGGCTGGACCCAGAAGCTTTCTGGGTTGTAGGCAAGGATGCAAACCCACAACGGACCCTCAACGGACCCACATCGGGAGGAAACGTTTCCCACAAGTAACAGGCAGAGGATGAACTATGTTGGTTTTTTTTTTTTAACATTTATATACGTATTTTGTTTCCCATCTCCAATACCTGATATAGTCCATACACCATATCATCATAAATACACTTTTTGTCATGTATGAAGACAAGCTATCGCTACAATGTAGATGAATGACGGCTTTGATGTCATGCAAATGTTAACTCTGGGCTAAACACACACGATACTGAAATTATTACACAGAGAATGCATTTACCATTTTTACTTCGCTATGCAGAAACATACATTCACCATGGGCTGTGTAATGCAGTAGACGGTGTAATGAAGAATATATCTTTCTGAAGGCTATTTATAACTAAACACTACATAGTTTAATTACAGTGGAAATTCTGTACAGTTTAAGGCTTGGCTCGGAACTATGTTTTATTAGGAATGTTGAACATTCCTAATAAAAGAGCTCCCGAAAGCAGGACAACTGCGACCAGGCTACGTTTAACACTGGGTCCTTATCACGAGCCTCCTGGGAGAGCCGGGGCCAAGAAAGCCGGCGGGGGAGACTGGGAGACTTGTCCACACAAAGACTTGTACATGCATAGCCTCAGTGGAGTAAAAAAAAAAAGTAAAAAGTTTGAACAGACAATTCACCAAAGAAGATATATGGATGATAACTAAGCACAGGGAAAGATGTTCGAGTTCACAGGCCATCAGGAAAATGCAAATTAAAACCACAATAAGATACCACTACACACCTATTCAAATGGCTAAAATTTAAAAGACTGTCTATTTCCACTGTTGAGAATGCAGAGCAGCCAGAATCTGACTGCTGGTAAGACCACAAAATCATACTGTAGGGAGTCAGAATATGCTGCCCCAAAATAAGCCACTTTGGCATAAGGGTTATTTTGAGCTGCTTCAGGCAACTGAGGAACAGGAAATGCCAAAACAGCTCTCTGCCTTCCCCCTCATTTGCCTAGAAGCCGGTTTAGATTTTTAATCACCTGAGATAACTAAATTCTTAGCAGCCCAGGGATGGCACTCAGAGCAATCCACGTTACAAACCTCCCAAATGAACCCTTATCCTGTATTCTTTTCCCACATATATTTACCCCTGCCTCCCTGCTCCCTTTTCTTTGTCTTGTTACCTCCCTATAAAACACAAATGTATTGGTCTTTGTGAGGATGTTAGGTCAGCGCCAGTTCTAACCACGCTTTTTAGTTGCTCACCATTGAGTCTCCCGTGTGTACATGTGCTGCCCCTGTTCATAAACTGTTTTCTTTTTCTCTTGTCAATTTGCTGTTTGTCCGTTTGATTTCTAGGGCCCTGGCTGGAAAACCTAGGAGGGTAGAGGAAAAAGTTCCTTCCCCCTCCCCTACGGTACGACCACTTCAGGAAACAGTTTGGTAATTTCTTAAGAGGCAAAACATACACCTGCCATAAAACCTGGCCATTCCACCCCTAGGTATTTCTTTACCTACATGAAATGAAAGCACTTGTCCACACAAAGACTTGTACATGCATAGCCTCAGTGGCTGGCTTTGTAATCATTCCAAATTGAAAACAGCCCGTATGTCTATCAGCAGGTGAATGGATTGGTATATTGTGGTATGACATACAAGGGGTACTCAGCAATAAAAGGAATAAACCATAGATCCACACAGAAAAAAATCTCTAAATAATTGTGCTGAGTAAGATAGCCTGACCAGAAAGGGGTGCTTACTGTCTAATTACATTTACATAAAATTGTATATAAAATGTATATAGAATTACATAAAATTCTAGAAAATCAAATCAGACCAGTGGTTATCTAGTTGGAAGGTGGGGGGAAAGGATTACAAAGGACCAGGAGGGAACTTTGGGG